TCCTTAGGATTATAAAAGAAAGAATGCCACAGGATATAGTATAAGTATGGTTTAAACATTAGTTTGATGTGGAAAGCCCGAAGTCTGATGGCTACATTAGTGTTAAATTTACGTGGTTGTTTGACCAATAGCCATAGAGATTCTGCCATGAAATATTTTTACTTTAAGTAGCCTATTCATGTGAACTAGAATAAAAACATTTTTGGGGAATTTCAAGTTTATTCAGATGTTCAAGAATCTTTCCCTCATCTAAGAACTGTTGTTTTTAGCCAGGAATGGGCAAATATGAGAGAAGTAGAGTGAACCATGGCCAAGACCTAGTCATCTGGCTGTCAATGCCAATGTCTACAGAATCACAAACAAAACTGAGTGATGAATATAAGTCCAGAATACTACTCCCAAGTATATAGTGAAAATAATTTAAAAGAGCTACTCAAACAAATACATGTCTAAGTGTGTTCTTACAGCACTATTCACAATAGCCAAAAGGTGCTCCTCGCCTTGAATGGATAAACAAATCATGGAAATACATACAGTGGAATATTACCCCATCATAAGTGGAATGAAGTAGTGATGTATGCTACAATATCAATCATCCTCCAGAGTATTATGCTAAGTGAAAGAAGCCAGATGCAAAAGATCACAACATATATGATTCCATTGATACAAAATATTCAGAACAGATGAATCTGTAGAGATAGAACATAAATTGGTGGTTGCCGGAGTCTGAGGGAGGAGTTAATGGGGAGAAACTGTTCAATGGGTAAAGGGGTTTTTGTTTTTTTTTTAATGGAGGTACAGGGGATTGAACCCAGGACCTCTTGCTTGCTAGGCATGCACTCTACCACTAAGCTATTACCCTGCCAGGTGAAGAGTTTTTTTTACTTTGGAGTAGTGAAAATGTTTTGAAGCAAGATAGAGTTGGTAGTTGCAAAAACATTGTGATTTACTAAGTGCCACTGAAGTGTTTACTCTAAAATGGTTCATTTTATGTAATGTGGATTTTGCCATTTTAAATTATTTAAAAAGTACCAGGTGACAAGGTTGGAGCAGCACCATATCCCATATTTTCAAAATCACAAATGGTTTAAATACATCTATTACATGAGGAGAGAAAGTGGCGTTTGTCATTATCCATCCCTGGGAGCTTGGTGAGGACTGGAAGTAATTTTAGGGTCTTCTTGGAAGATGAATTCAATTTGCCTCTTAAATATATTCAATTTTATTATGACATTAGATTACGAGAGCTTGTGAAAATCACTTTTAATGACAAGATTCTGTGCCGTGTGCTGCTTTATTTTCCATGCTTGCCTGAGATTTTAGTTGGTCTCATCGATCCAGCCTCGAAAATGAAAACAGGAAAGTATAAATGATCCTCTTTTGAAACGGGTTCTCTCTGTGCAATGGGAAGATAATTAGACCAATGTGGATGGGCAGATGAGGTTATTCAGTCTCAAGTGCTTTATTTTTGGCTCTTAAATCGTTTAGAGTAGCCACATATAAATAAAATGATCTGGATAATTATAAACAGTCTTAATATATTGTGTGAACCAGTCTGTGCCGCTGTTGGTAGTTGTTTGCACACATCTATGCTTGGTAAAGCAGGCGCTTTCCAAGATTGTGGCGTAAATATCTAGATTTTTTAGATAAAGAACGTCATTAGGTTTTGGTGGTGTACCTCTTTGCAAACATCATTTTTTAAGGTTGTATCTCTATATGGAATCCTCCCTGTGTTGTTGGACAGCCTTTCTGCTGTGTATGTTGCATAAGTGATTTCACGTCCTTAGAATATCTGTGAAGGGTTAATGTTATTATCTCATTATTGCAGATGAGATAACTGAGGTTCGAAGAAGTTAAGTGAAACCCGCAAGAGGATCAGTGGTGCTAGGATTCACCCTCACATACTTAGGCTACCTGTGGCTGGGATCCCATTGTACAACTTTTCTTTAGCAAAACTTCTTATGCACTAGCTCACGCATGAATTGCCGAGCTTGCTTGTTGACTGTTCACTTGGCTTCCCTGAAGAATGGCTTATCTGTGTGCTCACACTTCTGAGTTAGCCTGTATAGACAAGCTGTCAGAATGTTGGCGGGAATATTGACATTTAACTGCACAGTGGAAATGGGTATATCAGTTTATAGGACAGCTTAAGTTTTAAAAAAAAATCATCCCAGCACCCCAAGTGAATCTAAGGGTGCTGAATGATGGGTGACTGGGGAGGATGCTAAATTTGGGTCATGGGAAACCTGAACATTTGGGAATTTAAGGAAGGCAGAAATACAACCAAATTCATGTGTCAGTCTAAGTTATTCAGAATTTGATGTCAGATACCTCTTCCAATACGGGCTTTCTCTCTTCCTCCTGCAGCTTCAGGATTAACTGTCTTCCGCATACCTTGTGTTTTCCTATCACTGTACCTTTGTTGACATTTGGATTGCCTGGAGTGCCCTCCCTGGTTGCCACCGATTCTCAGCCTTGCTCCTTCTGCTTGTTGAAAGCCTTCTCCTCTCAGGCTAGTCCCTCAGAGAGCCTCCTCTTCCTTAAACCACCACAGCAGTCTCTGTTTAAAACATAAATTTGCAGCTTGACATTTACTTTTGGACTAGGTTTTATCTTTATGTATTTATAGCTCATCTCTGTTATTAATCATGAGCTGGGAGACGAATAATAGTATCTTCACTTGTATTTATTCTATTATATGCCTTGGACTTGGTATGTGCTCATGAAATAGTAGTTGATAATTTTATAACTCTTGAAGGCAAGGTTTTCTCAAAACATATCAATAAAATACCATTTCTGGGAGAGATGCTCTCCCTAAAAGGTAGCCATTGGTCAAATAAGGTTAAAAACCACCACATACCATTTCTATCTCAGGAAGTTTACATAGTAGTTGGCATTTTCAACATCCACTGCTCTACAGTAGTGAGACTGATTTTACTATTTTAACCCCGTACTTCTAAGCTCACCCTCTAATTTTTAAAATAAGAACTCTTCCAATATCTCCTATTCCTCAAAATGTTCTTAGCAAGACACTGCTTTAAGGTCTTTTTTGTATAAAAATTTTGCTCATAATAGTCACAGATGTGGAGTTTGATTCAATCTAGTCTGTACATTTTGTTCGGCCTTTCCACATAGTACTTGGGAAGGCACCCCCCCCTTAGTTGTATTGGGGTGTGTGTGTGTGTGTGTGTGTGTGTCTTTGCATGTCCTATACAATGTGGACTCAACCTGAAAATAGATTGAGATTGAAAAGAGAATGGTTGGAACTGGTCTTTCAGCTTGATTATCTGCTGGAATCTCTATTACTTCTCATAATATGCTTGAAAAGTTTTATTTGTACCTTAAGGGCAATGAGCCTGGCCTCATTTACAAATATGAATGCAGATGTTAGGAGGGGACTGTCTTCTCCTCCAGACTGTGTGGCTCACTGTCAGCTTGTTTTATTTACTTCCTCTGAAAAGAAATATCCATCCCTTGGAATTAGACCCGGTATGGTTAGTGGGGAAACTCGAAGTTTTGGAGTCAGAAAGTTTCAATTTAATTCCCAACTCAGGCCTGTGTGACCCTGAGCAGGTTTTCCTTCCAGAGCCACTGACTCATCATCTACGAAACAAGATGAGTCACTTCTGCCTCCAAGAGCATCTTACAAGGACAGTGCCTGGCCTAGGAGAGATGCTGCATAAGTATTGGTCCCTTTTTGCAGTTATTTTTTGTGTCAGGTTATGACAGGAGAATTCCACAGGCGTAAAGTCATATGGACAAAGCTGCCTCTCCCTGTTGTTGCCATTCCGCGTTTCACGGCATTTCTTCAAACCATGAATGGTGTCGCTCTCCTTCACATCTTCTGTCTCTGTGTGGTGTAGGGGTGGGCAGGGGTTAGTAAGAGTTGAATTGTTATCTATAAGAGGGGAATATTTGAATTCTAAAAATAGTGAATAAATAACCTGAAAGAGAGTTTAAATTTTTTTATTGTAATCATTTGAGATATAGAAAAGCAACTTACAAATGATCCGTTGAGTCTTATCATCTGTTAATTGTAAAACTCCATCCCCCCGTTTTTTATATATACATATAATATATATATATATAATATGTGCTATATATTATTATATATGATACATGTTTATTTATTTTTATATACATTATGTATAAATATTTATACATATATATAAATACTTTGGTTGGAATAAGTCATCACATCATTCAAAGGAGAATAGTAAATAACATTAGGGGAAACTTCCAACTTTTGTATAAATCCATTATATAATTTTGTTTTATTTTTAATTTTTATTTTTGAGGGGGTAATTAGGTTTGTTTGTTTGTTTATTGGGGGAGGTACTGGGGATTGAACCCAAGACCTTGTGCACGCTAAGCATGCAGTCTACCACTTGAGCTATACCCTCCTCCCCCCATTATATAATTTTAGCCATGGGTTCATTTCCATGTGATTTAGGATTATATATGACTATGCACAAACAGCATAAAAGGATCATCGTGGTGACAGTCTTGCTTAAGGTTATATAGTTGGAGGTGAAAACACTCAATAGAAAATTAGATTGATAATTTTGGGGAGTGAGTAGAATAGATTGCTCAACATATATTGTGGTTTTCAGGCCAGCTGACTACTCTGACTCCCATTTTGCAGAAAGCCATGTACTTGTTACATGTGGTTGTCAATACGTGTCAGTCCTGTCTGTCTCCAGCCATCCATGGCTAAACTGTTCCTGGGAGAAGCCCACTTGTCCCTGTGAAGGATGACAAATGGCAGCTTTGCTGCTGTATCTACCTTTCTAAATGCCGAATTCTCTCCTGGCAGGTTTTCTTGACATACATATTATGACCGGCTTAAAAAAAATCATTTTTTGTACTTTATTGGTTTAGACACCAGGTGACGTCTTGTGAGCTAAGCTGAAGTAACAGGCAGTGATGAACCTAAAAGTTCCTTGGACTGGCTTTGATTTTATATTCATCAGCATCTGTCTTGATCTGGTTGATTGCAGGAGAAGATGTATCGGGGAGTCTCTGTCCAGCATCTCCTCCTCCTGAACAGATAGCTTGTGAAATTCCCTGCCGAATGGACTGTGTGGTGAGTGAGTGGACAGAGTGGTCATCCTGCTCCCAGTCTTGTTCAAATAAAAACTCAGATGGGAAACAGACCAGATCGAGGACTATCCTGGCGTTGGCTGGAGAAGGTGAGTAATGGGAAAGGCTTCTGTTCCCTACATCCAAATGAACAGTTTGTTTTCCAGGTGTGCCTTTCCTCTTTGATCCTCTGCAGGTTCCCATATCGACATGAATTACTTAAGCCCATCCTATATACAGGCTGTGGCAATCAGACAGATGTCAGTTTTTGAAATGCTTTTTTGGGGAAGAAAATAAAGCTGGGTTGATATACATCCCACTTCAGATAGCTCATGCAATTGGGAACCTAATTGAATATGTCTGGTAAAACGAGTTCCAAATTAGGAGTGAAGAGACGTGGCTTCTTGAACAAGAGCCACCACTGACATCGGTAGGCTGCCTGATCTGTGTGCCCTCATCTCCTGTTCTGTCAGGCTAGCCTGTGGTGAGAGGGAGAAAGATGAAGGCTGTGGAAATGGCTCTGAAGAAGCTAAAATGGTACTATGAGAATGTAAATGGGTGACATCAGAGCAAATGAGAGGAGCTACTGTTCCTATCACTTACAGCGATGGTCTCGGTCTCCAGACACATGTGTCATTTCTTTCAGGTCCTCCCTCGGCTTTGTGTGCCTACAGCTCAGTTGGAACTGCACAGTAGTATGGCCACTGGCTTTGAGGAACTTTTTAAACAAGATTCTGTTCTGTGGTCCTAAGAAACAGGGCCAGGGTCAAGATGAAGGAAGATTTTCATATTCTTAAAGTGCATTTGCTTTCTCTTCTTGTCTGTTATACTTCTGGAGGGAGAAAAAGTCAATAGTATTTAATGGGGGAAAAGAAATAACAAGAATAACAAGACCAAGGTCATAGATCTTCTCCAGCATTTGGCCCACTGAATAAAACATTATAGTGCGGAGGAGGAGGGGGAAAAAAGTCAAGAGTTTAGGTAAATACCAGTTTTTACATGGATATAAAAATGGGAAAGAGAAGATAGTCATGAAATTTGGTTGTCTGACTCACCCAGGATTGTAAGGGTGCACATCTGTCTGGTCTGCCTGGCAGTGGATAACACATTGTCTGGTATTATTTCTGAGTTTAAGGATGGGCTCTCTCCTGCCAAACTTTGAGATTTCTCGATTTCTCAAATAGCAGTAAAATGCACTGCTTGATGGAGGATAGAGGTCTTAAAGTGGTTCTCTGAGAGAAAATAGTACTCTCTTAGGAAAGAAAGAGCATATGTAGGTAATGTGTGTGTATGTGTGTATTTGACCTGATATCACTTCAAGGTCATGGGTTACTATAGCTAACTGACTAATTTGTGTAGGCATAATAATATTAAGATAAAAGCAGATTTCTTTGGAGTTTATCTCAGAAATGCATGACTCAGAGGTGGAAAGTAGAATCAGTTGATTTTTTACATCTAATTGACATGCACCATTGTCTGTTCTTTGGGAGAGAAGGGTGCAATGTATTCTTCTCAGGTTGTTCCTCAGGACGAAAGAACCACGACCTTCGAGTTGGAAATGGAGTGACTTGGCTCAGGCCAATGAAAGGTTGTGTCACAAAGGCCCTCTTTCTAGACCATTAAAACAGTTAAAACAACAAAAAACAAGAATGACAGTAACAACGGCAGCCACATGGCGATAACACCAGCGCCCGCTGTGTATTCTGTCTGATTTTGGTTTTTGCAGGTGGAAAGCCGTGCCCCCCTAGTCAGGCCCTCCACGAGTATCGTTCATGCAATGGCCATTCTTGTCTGCAACTCTACTGGGAGACAGCTCCGTGGGGCCCCTGTTCTGAAGACACATTGGTAACTGCCCTTAATGCAACCATTAGCTGGAATGGAGAAGCGACGTGTGGCGTGGGCATTCAGACACGGAGAGTCTTCTGTGTCAAGAGTCATGTGGGACAGGTGATGACAAAAAGGTATTATTGATAATTTATTGAAAGTACGTAGGATTATGGCATAGTTGAATATTTTCAGTCAGAAGCATTTTTCAAGCCCTGAATATGTCTCAGTCTGTGCTGGAGGAAGAGATTTTTGTTTTGCTTTGTTTGACTCTTCAGGACTTAAAAAATATGCCTCAACCAGAGGTAGACAATTTACTAAGTTATAATGTGTGCATTACTTAATGGATAACAGTAAATATAATGCCCACCCGTATTGAATCGTTTTGAGTAACCAGATTTTCTAGAGCTGATATCAGTATTTTTGACTCTTTTTCAGTCACATAAAGACAAGGTCCATGTGAAGGTAGGTTACACACACACTTTGAAAATACAGGGCTATGTTCACTCTTCTTTAGGTCCCACTGCTCTTGTCTGCACTGAGTAAATCCACATGGTCATTTTAAATCGACTAATTCCTGCCCTCGAGTAGGCTTACAGTCTCATGCATGCCATACCCTGCACAGGGAGATGTAAATTAAAAAAAAAGCAGGAGAATGTGGACATGTGGACTAGGATATAGACATTAGCAAGGATCAGGACAGTTGCAAGTGATGGAGGGAAAAAGAGCACTTGGCTGGAGGAGTTTCTTTAGACCAAACGGGGAGACATAAGTCTTCCTGCAGTCCATGCAGGAGGGCTCCTGGAAGAGAAAATGTAAGGGACCTGCCTCATGTACAGAGACTGGGTAACTGGCCTGCCATAGAGATTTCCAAGTGGCTACGTGTGAATGAGTCCCCTTCCAGTGATGGAAGACTCTACTCCAGCCGCAGGGGCAGTGTGGGTCCCCT